TGTTGCCTAGGTTGATCCTGAGTTCTTGGGTTCAACTGAACATGCCTTAGCCTTTACAAGTATCTGGGACTACTGGTGTGTGCCACCAAGCCTGGCCTAAATTATATTTTTAAATTAACTTTTTACAGGTTGCAAATTTCTGGCCAGACTCAAAGTCATAGTTCTAAACAGCATTTAAAATTTTCTAATTACAATTACTACTTATATTAATAATTATGTTTTTTGGCCATACCAGTATAATAAGGGCTACCATCGTATATATGGGCACATATCAGTATAAGTACATATGTGTTTACATGCCTGAATCACTTTTTACATATATCTATATGTACTATATAGAATGTCTCTCATGAATTCTCAGATCATATTCAGTCTCTCCAAACACCAGCAACACTCTAATTTTTAGGCAGTCTATTAGGGCTTCCAAGTGGATGGCGCATATATATATAAATAAAATTTTTTTGGGGGTGCTGGAGATTGAACCCAGGGGCACTTTATCACTGAGCTACACCTCCAACCCCCCCTTTTAAAAAAATTTTTGAGACAGGGTCTTGCTAAGTTGCTGTGGCTGACCTTGAACTTGTGATCCGCCTGCCTCAGCCCCCTGCTGAGGGTTACAGGTGTATGCCACTGAGGCCAGCCCAAGTATTTTTAAGTAAAAACTATTATTAAAAAAAAATACTCATCTCCTTACAACTCAGCAGCACCTCCTGATGAAGCATCTGTAGAACACTGTGAAGGACAGAATGGCCCCTCTTCCTTTTTTTTTTTCTACTACTATTCAAGTGCTTGTTCAAAGTCACAGAGTTGTCACATGAAGACATGGGTCCCCAAATCTCAGGGACCTACCAATTCCATTGCTATCTTAGTGTTCAAAGAGTTTCCCCATCTTCATATCCTACGAAGGTGTCGTTTCCGTCCAGGCTGCCTGTCCTGAAGAGAGCAGCTTTTTCACTGTGGTGAACACAGGGTCAGAAGTGCTGGACAGGATCACTGAAGTGACACAGTACGAAAGGCAACAGTGGCAGGGCTATGACATGTTCCCAATTTCTCTAAGGGGCGACTTTTTAAAGTGACAGGGCTTTTACAATTGCAGGGTCAACCCAGAAGTTGCACTTTGAACCAAGTGCCTCTGGTCAGGAAGAGAAAGAGAGTGTTCTGGGGTCTCAATGGGGCTCCTTGGGTCTCCTCCTTGGCCTTGGTGTTCTGCTGGGATGACTTGGGAGCCAGCTGACAGGGCCAGAAGCACATGGTTTGCACACTCGTGCAGGTGCCTAGGACGGGCTGGGAACCACAGCCCTCCCTTTCTTCCTGGCCGATGGTGTTCCCTCAACAGAGATGACCACGTGACAGGACTGGCCTTAATGATGGGCGCCCAGCATACCCTCTGACGACATGTGTTTTCTCTTTCAATGGTTCCAGTTGCAGCAACTGGTGAGAGGCCTGCCCTTCAGGCCACCAGAATTTCTAGACTTTCTGCTACAGAAGGCATCCATGGTTAACCCTAAATGTTATGTAATTTAAAATATGCCCTGAGTGCCTTTGGAAAGCACTATATAATTTTTAAAATTAGGCTTTTCTTCCTCATTGTGTTTTACCCTTCATGTTCATATTAAATAATTTGCACTTTCTTGAGTGCATGCAGGCTGAACAGAAGGGGCATCTGAATATTGCTAGGCAGTGCAGAGAAGTTTGCCTGGTATGAAAAGTGGCAGATAAGCCAGAAAAACATACTGGGCTAATAATTAAAGTTGATTAGACAAATTCTTTTTTTTTTTTTCACCAAATTTACTTGACTCTTTCCTACTGAATGACTCCACTTCTCCATCTTTTCCATCACTGGCATTTTCTGGTCCCAGGATGACCTGTGTGCTGTGCCTCATGAGCACACACTGAGACTTTAAAATATAACAATGGCTTCTCTAATTAGGTAACCACTAGATGACATCAGTGACTGCCTCGGCTCTAACCAGTTATGAATCAGGAGGTCTTCATGCAAAGTAAAAGATTACCTGGTTTTAATCCTAAAGCATGTAAGGGACAGGCAGTTGTGCAATATCTCGGGGAAAAATGCAGAGAACTCCCCTAATAAGGATTATTTTTCTGGCATTTGTGGCTGTTTTCTAGGACAAGCTACTTTTTGGAAGACCGGGTGATAATATTCAGACCTTTTAAAGAAACATCCTAAGGCTCTAACCAAAGACCAAATGTTCTAAATATTTCCTGAGAAATAGTGAGATGGCGTTGGGAGTGGAGAACAAATGCCACCTGCAGTAACCAGCAGCATCGTGTCAGTACTGACAGGAACACAAAAACTGCCTTTAGCCACGAGACAGTTAGCACGGCACGGGAAAGATGGTGGCCACCTGCCCGAGTTGCCCATCTCACCCAAGACAGGCTTGATAAGAAGGCAGAGCACATTTCTCCGAACTCCTGTGATTTCATTTTTAAATAGTTAAATGCCTGCTGTATTTTTAGGAACTGTGATCTGAAGGTGTTTTTTTTTTTTTCCTTCCCTAAGAAGCAAACATCCTCTTTACAGTTACAAGGAGCTTGAGTTCCGGTGTGAACTCCAATGGCAACAAGCATTTTAAGAGTTCATTTCTGAGGACTCAGTTTCCAGTTGCAGAAGTTCTTCGCTTGTTTTACTTCCCGAATTTTCATCTTCATTAGAATAGTTTCCTGAATCTTGACTGGTTTGGGAATTGTACTTTTTGTGATCCTCGTCAATTTGATTAGTTTCCTTCATTATAGTATTTGTGTTTGTGTTTTCAATTATAAAACACCTTTCAATTTGTTCTTCAGATGTCAGAAGTAGAAGATTCTTTAAAGGTTGTTCAGACAAATACTAATTTTAAAAAAAGGAAGGAATAGAGATGAATTGTTTTAAAATAATAAAAATTAGCTTCATAGTTTTAATAGCTTTAGTTTTCATTTAGAAAACTTCTCTTTTATTATGCATATTAAAAAGTCAGCTAAGAACATACCAATTACATTGTAAGTCAGCTAAGAACATACCAATTACTAGTGAGTTCACATATATTAGTACTTTCTTAGGGAATCCAAGAAGAGCATGTAAGAGGCACACTGCCCTGGAGCAGCCTAGGAGGGGCTGCCAGGGGAGCACGGGGGAACATGGACATTTTATTTTAAAATAACTCAAAATAATCCAACTCAAAGGTACCCAGAAGCAGTACAACTGAGAAATTAACTTTTTTCCTGTTTGACTAGGAATTTTATAATTAGCTATTTTTAAGTCTATTTTAAATAAGAGCTATGAATATTACAGTACATAAAAGTGATATTTAAAAACTCAGGATTATTAGAATTAGCTAGTGAAGATATACTAGGCATTCTTAGAGTGCTGGGCTGTTCTTGGGGTAGCTCTTTCACTGCTCGTGACTCTAGAGGGGAGTGGTCCTGGCTCCCATGCAGAGCCCAAGGGTACCCACCTGCCCATCTACTCCTAAGTGACTCACTCAACTTCACATAGCTTGTGAGCATGGCTGTGTCACAGCTCACCACAACTCCAACTCTGCACCTGGGCTCTTCACCACACTGCTTCTCAAAGCAAGCCTGAACCCTGCCCTGGGTGAACACTGTCCCCAAGCAGTCTGCTACTGGGCCTTCAGCACCCAGCACCCTTGCCACCTCTACAGGAGCACCAAGCCAAACATCAACGTGTCTACAAGGAAACTTGTGCTTCTGATGATGCCACCTTCTGTGATTACATTCTTGGAATGAATATACTTTCTATAGGGATAGAACAATTCTTTTTGATATATTGTGAATAATCCCAAAGATTTAAATGATTTAAATAGTAAAACAAATGCCATAATAGCCAAATTGCCAGAAAACAGGAGATTAAGGACAAATCTTACTTCTGTGCTGTTATTAGATGACTGATACTAAAGTTCATTTACTGAAACTTTGAACAAAATACCTACATTAGTCTGTATTGTTTTCTGGATATCAAGAAAACTTAAGCATTTTGTTGAAATCAAATATATTTCTTAGGTTGACAGAGAAGAATAGCGTACCTTGTCAATATTGGAAGGAGGTTTAAGTGATGGGAAGAATACATAATTGAAACATCTCAGGAGGGTTTTCATAACATACATGGTAAACAGAATAAAAACTCCTGCAATGCAAATTCCAGCTATCACCCAGATTTTATAAGAATTTCCTAAAGATAAATAAATGATGTTTAGTATCAATGTATGTTTGGACACACAAATGCACTGATATGAAACTAGCCATATGAAGATAAATATAAAATCTATTAAATAATACCTCTAAAAATATTTCTGGTAACACTGAGTACCAGCACAACCTGACCTTTAAAGACTGTCTGGGGACTAATCTAAGAGGTCTTTTGTGGAAGAAGACAATATCAACACATGGGCCCTACCAGGGGAAAGTTCTCCAGAACTTCTACAACATGTGACTAGCAGAATTTAAAAAGATTCTGTGCCTAAGCCTCTACCAGTCCACTCTACAAAATGAGATGAAACCACTTGCACATAAAAAAATTACAACTGAACTACTTAGATTTCAAAATCATTAAAGTTTATGTAAAACATTAAAAACTTATAGTCTTATTAAATACCAAAAGCAATAATTAAAAAGAAATTCATTATGTGGATACTGGATGAAATATAAAAGCATTAAAAATACTAAATTGAAAATACTAAAACTGAAAGACTTATCTTGAAGGTTTACTTTTGATTCATGTAATTCATGAAATGAACATGCAGAAAATCTATCTTTTGTAGTGAAAAGCAAATATTTTACAATTTCCAATGTATTATTTTATTAAGTCTAGTTACATTTGAAAAAAGATACAAAAAAGATATTCTCACCTGTTTTTGTTTTCTCGCACACAGTATTGCTAAAAATACTGCTTTTATTCAACTGTCCCCCCACAAAGTGTGCTCTTCCTTTGACACAATACACAGTCAGTGGTTGCAAGTTGTCAATAGTAAAATCGTTTCTTTCTTTTAGGAATTTTCTCTATGAAAATAATTGAGTCATTGATAAAGTTTAGTTAGCTCATGAAATCAGACAGGGGAGATCTATGAATTATTTTATATTCAATTTAAGATCGGCCTCTCCCAAACACTTAGTTGGTGTGTGTTTAAGAAATATAAATTTGTGGGTTGGGCTGAGGGGTAGAACACTTGCCTAACATGCATGAGGCTCTGGGTTCAATCCCCAGCACTACAAAAACAAACAAACAAACAAACAAACAAAAAACCCCCAAAACCCGAGAAACCACAGAACAAGTGAAAAGAAATATGTTTTGAACATCCCATTATAACCAAATCAGAAAGTTTAAAATGCTGCTGTCCAAAAAGCATATGATACATTCCTAAGGTAGCTCTGATTTATTTTCATGAGTACATGCTGGTTTGGCTTAATTGCCAATGTATTTCCTCTGATTAATGATAGAATGGCAAGTGGTAGGGATTCTGACCTCAATTGCCTGTGCTGAATGGGGATGTGTGGCCTTGTGGGGGTTATTTCATTGCTTGGTGCCTTACTTTCTGAGCTGTAAAATAAGTACAATTATGGCTCTTATCTATGTTAGCCAGCTATTGCCACAATATTGAAGCCACCTTAGCATTCAGTGGCTCCAAACATAATTATTTATTTTTCTCAGTCAGTCTACAGGTTGACAAGGGGAGCCCCCACCAAGGTCAAGGATTCCCAACCCACCAGTCTCTTGTCCTCCTTGGACCATGGACTATTTAGATAAATTGCCTTTCTCTTGGCAAAGAGGAGAAGCATGAGAGCCAAGCCAAGCCATGCTGGCACACTTAAGACCCAACTTCAATGAGGCAGGGACTATGCAATCCTAAGTATCTGCTGCACAACAATGAAACTGAATATACAGTGTGGCAGAGTTGTTTTGAGGAATGACTGGAGCAGTTCATGTAAAATACTTAGTATGATACCTGATAAATTCTAAGTATTCAATAAATGAGTTTCTCTTACAATAATGATTGATGTTTGCAGTACGGAATAGGAAGGCAACTACAATTGACTGAACCTCTACAGTTTGTCAAAGTAATGTGCTATGTATATTCTTTCAAATCTTAGAAATATCCTTTTATAAAATTAAGCTGCCATGATCACTGCCACTTTAGAGAAGACAAAATAAAGTTTCAAAGAGGCAAAACACCTTGCCCAAGATTAATTATATGGCTATTTCTCAATGGTCTAAATTAAGCTATGGTCAGACAGCTAAAATGAAAGCATTTGAGTCACTTCAATTTGCTTCTAGTTTCCAAAAGAAAATAAAGTTACAGACTTTACCAACATTGAGTATTTGAAGTTGATTCCTTGATTGTAAATACACAAGGAATTGTGTGTATAACCTGATGTGGCGTTATCAAATTCTGTCTGTGGTTCTGAAATGCAGTGTTTGCCAGTGTTTTTCAACATTTTTTTTTCACTACATTTCCTCTGCAGAGACTTTTTAGATAATTAAAAAAAATTCCTCCCCCAACATGAAATTAAACACAAATAAATAAAGTTGAACTTTGGAGACATGCTTTCCTCTAGGAGGGCCACAAGCCATGATGATATTTTTTGCCCCTAAGAACCAATTTTGTTCCCTTGGAGGTGTCATCAGGGGACTTTTGACAATGTTCAGAGATGTTTTTGGTTGCCATAACTGGGAGGAGCACTACTGGCATCTAGTGGGTACAACTCAGAGACGTTACTAAGCATCCTACAAAGCATAGGGTGTCTCTGTCACAAGAATTATCTGGCCCCAATGTAATGGCGTAGAGAAGCCCTGCTCTAGATGAACATCTAGGAATTGTGTTAGGAACGGTTCTGATTCAGCAGCAATGGGCTCAGGAATCTATTTTAAAAGCAACCTGAGACTCAGATGCAAGTAATCCATAACTCTACCATACAAAAACATGAAAAAATGCTGACATTCTTCATACTACAATAGGCACACAGTTAAATACATAGTTTTAGGGTCTAATATTTTCCCCCAAATTTTAAACTCAGCTTTATTTACTTGAATACAAAATTTACTATGTATAATTACCTCAACATTTGAACTGTTTTCCCAAAAAATAATTTCATAAATTAGAGGGTAAGGCTGCTTCACTGACCCTTCTTCAGCATTGACATAGACACGCAGTGAATCATTAATGGATTTCATGCTAATGACTGGTGGAGGTATAACAACTAGGAAAAAATAGTAAAGATAAATATGTAATTATACATCTTAAAACAATTTTAAGAATTCATACCAAATTGAAAAATCATAATTTCAAGAAAAAAAACATTGGCTTACTGTATATTCCAGTATTTAATTTTTTCTCTTCAGACCAAAAAGATGTGCTATTTCCATTAGATGCTTGTACACGAAGATAGTAAATTCCTTTTGAGAGACGTTTTCGAGGAAAGATACAATATGTAGTTTTGATGTGTTCACAGTTAGGTATTTGTTGCCATTTATGTAAATTGGTCCCATGAATAATTTTTAGAAAGCCACTGTAAGACAAAAAATGTTCTTTAAATTCAAACATATTAATTTAGTAAGTATGAACTGAATACTTACAGTATGCTGTTAGAGGCTAAAGACACACAAACAAACAGCTCCCACACCCTCGGGAAACTCATGATACAGTGGAGGAGATGCATCCATCCATTACAAAAGAAAGGTAAAGATTGTTCCAGAGTAGTGTTGTGTCAGAGGTGGCTTGACCATGTGCAAAAACAACTTCTATAATTCCAGGAATGTTCCAAGATGGTTTTTAAATAGAGCCTTTATTAAAAATCTAATTATATACTCTTACAATTAAGAACTGTATTAAAGGGCAGGGGATATAGCTCAGTTGGTAGAGTACTTGCCTTACATGCATAAGGCCTTGGGTTCAATCCCCAGCACTAAAAAAAAAATGTATTAAAGACAAAGATAATACATATTTAAACTGAATCTTGCCCCAGAGATTTTACTATATTTTATCATCTACATACTTGAGGCTCTGTATCTACATGGTAAAAATCCCATATACCAGTGCCAACTGTGCTTATCTTTCCAGCTTCATGTTCAGGAACAGGATGCTAGTAGTTTGAAAGTGGTCATCATCACAAAATTCAGCCAGTAGTCCAAATAGGGCTCTTCCCTTCAGGAGAACCAACCAGTTGCTGAACACATTTGTACACACCCCTGTGTAAGTGCTGGAACAGAAACGCACGGTCTAGGGCTACAGCTACACTGTGTCTAAACCAAGGACAGGCACCCAACTAAGGCTGGGAGACTAAGAAACTGCTGCTCAAACCAACAGCAAAGAGCATCTCAGTTTAGGCCTAGAACTGCAAGAACCTCCTAACTCATTTCCTCATGTTGAGTGTCACCTGAGCCCACTGTTCCAAATATGATGCAGCCATACACACCTTCCTCAAACACAGGCCTCATGTCCCAATGGTTCACAAACATACACAGGATGGCCCACAGTAAGCCCCATCTTCTCCCATCCTACCAACTTCATCTCTCTCATGGCTCCTCCACACCTTGAGTTCTGCTCCTATAGGACACCTCCCCACGGTGGCAGGCAGCATCTTAAGGTGGCCCCAATGTCCCTACCTCTGCACATATATCCTATATGAGCCCCCACCCCAGTGTGAGCAGGACCTGTGAATCTGATTTGGGCCCCCTCCCCCTGGATTAGGTAACATTATCTGGCAGAGGCATTTTACAGATGGAATTAAGGTCCCAAATCACTAATTGTGAGTTAATCAAATGAGACACTCTGCTGGGTGGCCTGATCTCTCAAGGGAATCCTTTAAAAGAGGGGATAGAGGTCAGACCCTTCCCCTGATGCCTCCAAGAGGCACCATGCAGACCTGTCCCGGGACCCTGAGCTGGATGAAGCTACATCCTAGCAACACCCTGATTACTGAGCAGAGGACTCAGGTAAGCCATACCTGGACTGACACACAGAAACTTTGAGATAAAATGCCTATTTTTAATCTGCCAAATCTATAGTAATTCACTACAGAGCAACAGAAAATGAATTCTCCACCAACCTCATTACGTCTCTTCCTATTCCTCCGATTTCCCTCCTGCTGTGACCCTCTCTCACCCACTTATCCACATCAAGGCCTTGTTATTATCGGACCTCCTTCCAAGTGGCTTCTGTGCTCTCCAGCCCTATCTACTTTCACTTTTTTGATTTCTTTTTTTTTTTTTAAGAGAGAGTGAGAGAGGAGAGAGAGAGAAAGAGAGAGAATTTTTAATATTTTATTTTTTGGTTGTTGGCGGACACAACATCTTTGTTTGTATGTGGTGCTGAGGATTGAACCCGGGCCGCACGCATGCCAGGCGAGCTCGCTACCGCTTGAGCCACATCCCCAGCCCTCACTTTTTTGATTTCTATAACTGCTAGAATTTGTTTCCTCTGCCCTAAGCCACATGGGGCTGAGCAGTGTCAGCCGACTACCGTAGGTTTCTGGACTGGCAGGCTTCCTCCTGTTTGTTCAACCTCTTCAGTGCTTTGTGCAGTGCGCCATGCAGCCAAGAGAAGCTCAGGGGCATCACCTCTCCTTCTCTATTCCATGGCCCTATTTTTTTTATATAGACATATTTTAGTTGTAGTTGGACACAATACCTTTATTTATTTATTTTTTATCTTTATTTATTTATTTTTTATCTTTATTTATTTATTTTTTAGTGTGGTGCTGAGGATTGAACCCAGCGCCTTGCACGCGCTAGGGAAGCGCTCTATCACTGAGCTCTACCCCGTGGCCCTGTTTTTTAGCATGGATCTGAAAGTGGAGTAGACACAAAAGGTCACTGCACAGTCTCCTGGTGAGGCTGTGGCCCTCTGTGCGGAGGTGCTCCCTTCCTACTAGCCATCCTTGGTTCCAGGATCACAGTAAAGAGGAGAGAAGATGAGCACTGACTCCTCTCCACCCTTGTTGTTCCTCTTTCCTTCTCATCTTGTCACTTTTCTTTCCCTGCCTTTGGCTGTTAGTCCCTCTATTCTTCTGCTCTCAGTATTTATCTTTCTTTCTATCCCCGGTCTCCCCCAAATCCATTTTTCCTTCCTTATGATTCCCCTCTTCTCTCTTCCTTCTCTATTCATCCCCTGACATTTTCCAGTCGATATAAACTGTATGCAGTTATTTAATTTATGCAGTATCAAGACCTCATCCATATTGGCTAGTTTCTACTTGGCCAGGTTGAAATCTGCTCTCTCACCCGACGGATTCTCAGCCAAGTTCCACAAGACCTTCAAAGAAAAACTAATACCAAAACTCCTCAAGTTATTCCATGAAATAGAAAAGGAGGGAACCCTTCCAAACTCATTCTATGAGGCTAGTATCATGTTGACACCAAAACCAGACAAAGAAACATCAAGGAAAGAAAACTTCAGACCAATATCCCAGATGAACTCAGACACAAAAATTTTCAATAAAATTCTGGCAAATCACATATAAAAACGTATGAAAAAGATAGTGCACCACGATCAAGTGGGGTTCATTCCAGGGATGCAAGGTTGGTTCAACATAAGAAAATCAATGTAATTCATCACTCAATAGACTTAAAGACAAGAATCATATGATTAGCTTAATAGATGCCGAGAAAGCATTTGAC